ACGAGGCCCACCAAAAGCTCGAGCAGCTCAAGCGCTTCGATTCCGACGCGGCGGACGTCGTCATTTGGCTCCGCAGCAACCGCCACCGGTTCCGTCAGGAGATCTTTGAGCCCGCATTCCTCTGTGTGACCGTGCCGAACCGCCAATACGTCGACGCGGTCGAGGCGTGCTTTGGCGACACGCAGCTCCGCACGTTCGTCGCGCAGTGCGAGGAGGACTACCAGACGCTGAACAGGCTCTGTGTTGATACCCCCGAGGCTGTCGGCAGGAAGGCGAGGATCAATACGTGGTTCAAGGCGAAGGACGGAGGCAGGCTCCAGCCGCAGCCGGTGCCCGCAGACCAGCTGGCAGATCTGGGCTTTGATGGCTATGCGATCGACTTTGTGGATTGTCCGGAGGGCTTGAAGTGGTTCTTGTGCGCGGATGTCAAGCTTCACCGTACGGTACGTCTACGAGGTTTCCGTCTCCGCTCTTGCGCGCTGACAGTCGTTTCAACACATTCGTGCGCATATAGCCCATTGCGAGCGACCCGCAACGCGTCGACCAGGTCAAGGCGATGGAGATGGCCGCCCGCGCGGGCGGGCTCAACTACATCATCGGTCGCGTCAAGAACGACGTGACGCGCTCGAAGTACGGCAACCGGCTTCCGCAGAACAGGACGAGCGAGATCAAGCAAGCGCGGTCCCTCGTGCACACCGCGGATAATGTTTCCTGCACTCGCTTTGCCACGAACATCGGGACGGCCGCTGATTGTAGCGTACAGTCGACCCGCAGGTTCGGAATGAGCTACGGGCGAAGCTTGCGGATGCGGAGGAGAACTATAGGCTTGTCCAGGGGGAGGAGGACAAGCTGTCGAAGGAGGACAATCACATCCAGATCGAGGGCAAGGCGTTCAAGGCACGCAACGTGAGTCTTGCAATGTCCTGACCTTCACAAACCCTCGACATGCTGAACGGCGTATGGGCTGCAGGACGATCTCGAGAAGCGGAAGCGCGCCGTAATAGATGCCCGCAAGAAGATCGAGACTGCCCAGTTAAGGCTGCGTATGTGTTCTAACGAACTGATGCCACTGTACAAGGTCGTGTTGACATCTCTTTGACGCAGAGAACGAACGGAATAAGCTCGAGAAGCTATTGAACGCGAAGCCTGTGGATGTCGAGCGCAACAACCTCAAGTCGGAACTTCTCAAGCTCGCAGGCCAGCGGGTGACCAATCTCCAGCAATACGTCGTAGGTTTCTCATGTGACCTAGCCGTTTTCTCATCCCTGCTAAGCCCTTGGCATGTCTAGCGTCTGATGCACGAGTCTATCAAAGAGCAGGAGAAGGCCACACTCGCGGGTCTCGAGTACTTCCAGGTCCAGGCAAACAAAGGGGCACTCGGGGCGACGTGCAAAGGGCAGAAGGAGGCCATCGAGATCGCTCAGGCGAACTTTGTCGAGAGTACGTCAGGTTTGGTATATATCTAACAGTGTCTGATTTCGGCCATGCCATCCAGTCAGCCAGAAATGGAAGAAGATCAAGGAGGACTCCCGGGAAAAGCTCCACAGGAGAAGCTCGACAGAAGCTCGACGCATGCGACGACGAGATCCGGCAGAAGTTTCAGCAGATGGAGGAGGTCAGTATAGCGCGTGATGTCGCGGTCCGTTATCGCGGGTGACGATCCTGACGACTTCGTGGTGCTCACAGGCTGGCGAGATCGCGGCCAAGTCGAGAGAGGAGTGAGAAGCCGAGCTTGCTCAGGGCCAGGAGGAACTCAACATGAACATGGCCACAAATGCGAACGTCGTCGAGCAGTACAACAAGCGGAAGGCTGAGGTTCGTCCACATGTGCTTCCTTGGTCATCTGTCCTTCTGACACGCGGACAGATCGCGGCCCTTTCCTCCACCATCGAGGAACGCGAGAAGCAGATCCTCAGGGTCGAACGGCAGATCAAGGCGGCCAGGGTTCGTCCCATAGCTTCGTATCAGCAATTTTGACATTCGCTGACAGACGCTGAATTCAACAGGACAACTGGCAGCCTGAGCTGGAGAAGCTGGTCGGCAGCATCGGCGAGAAGTTCTCTGCCGCGTTCGACCGGATCGGTTGCGCTGGCGAAATCAGGATCCGCGAGGACGAAGACTACGACAAATGGGCAATCGACATCATGGTCAAGTTCCGCGACCACGAGAAACTCCAGCTCCTAACAGGCGAGCGGCAGTCCGGTGGAGTAAGTCTCTCTCACCTCTCGTGCCGCCCAATTTACGATGTCCTGAATCATAACTGCCATAGGAACGTTCACTCACGACAATCCTCTACCTGATGAGCCTGACCGAGGAGGCCCGCGCGCCCTTCTCGCTCGTCGACGAGATCAATCAAGGCATGGACCAGCGCACGGAGCGGGCGGTCCACAACTCGCTCATCGAGGTGACGTGCAAGCCCGACAGCGGGCAGTACTTCCTCATCACGCCCAAGCTCCTCCCCGACCTGCACTACCACGAGCGCATGAGGATCCTGTGCGTGAACAACGGCGAGTGGCTGCCCGAGGAGAAGCGTATGGGCGACATGAACGGCCTCATAGAGGACTTTTTGAGGTTCCGCAGGAATCAGGGAAGCGCGAGTGTGTAAAGGTTCGGAGCGTAGGCCTGGGGGTTTACTGGGGCTGAGAGCGCTCGTGTTCTCCGCGCTAGAGAGGGAGATGGGGCGCGCGGTCATGCTTGGACTTGTTGTAGATTTATCTGTGTGCTTATTGTACCTCACCCGTAGCTGCGTAGTTTGGTAACTGTACATCCTATCTTGTTACCCCGTACTGTACTGTGCTTTCTAGATATTGCGTCCGGTCGTTCTGTCTGCAGCGTGTCTGCTATACACGTCTATTGCTAGCATTCCCCTAGCGTGGAAGCTAGTGGAAGCTAGCCGACAATGCTATAGGACTCGCGCCATGGTTAGGAACAAACACGATCCAGGCGCCAAAGCCAGTGCGCGACAAACTACTTCAAAACCATGCATTAGCCTCCCTCAATTCTTGTACTTTTTTTTCCTCGCCCTCCAGAGCCGGCGCCTGAATTGTGATAGACGATTGATGTGACCAGAGGCCCCTTCCTGAGCTTCTCCCCCGCGCGAATATACCTCAAAAAAAACAGTACACCATGGCTAGAATACAAACTCAGCAACTGAGCTGAGGAGAGGTCAATGAGCGGCGGAACGACGACCGACGCTGTATACTAAGCGAGGCGGGAGGGCGGTCGGGCGCTTGCTGCTTCAATAGGTGAGATAGCCGAATGGCGCGTCGATGGAGGGTCGCGTTGGGCTCATTCTCCTCCCCCCGCATGTGTCCGGTGAGGCTTCTACATGTATTCTGGTAGACACACATCGAATGCATATATGCTGTAAATTTCATGCAGTTCTAACCACGGGAACATGGAAAAAATGCGCCCGTAGCAACAAGCGCCAGAGGTCTTCCATGCCGATCCCTCCACTTCTTGGCACCTGCGCTCGCTCTCCTTATTCTGTGCACACCTCTGTCAGTTCGTATTCTATATGGTGATTACCTTCGTACCTGGGATTAGTGGTACTCAGGCCCTATGAACGGGTTGCACCCTGAGGAACCCCACATTCCTTGTTTGATTTACCCATCAAAGTTTGATGCGCTCGTAGGGCGCCCCATCACTTTCTCCCTCTCGTAACCAATCACTAGCCCTTGTTCTATGTACGTGAGGGAGGTCTGAGACCTGCAAGGGTAAATAACCCTCAGGTCCGCGCACCTCGTTGTAGGCTACTCCCAACCCGCCCTTCCTGCGCGAGCTGCGCTCCTTCGTGCTGTACTACCCGCACGACGTGTCTTAAAGGGTCTGCATGAGGCTGGTAGCAGAGATTGTGTCTGCAGAAAGGGTTTTTGGTGAGCTCTGTATCGATGGCGTTACAGTTACAGAATAAGATATACAGAATAAGATATCTTTGTGTCAGGTGTATCTGAAACCGAAGAGACCGATAATGGAGAGATGTACACAATGGTCATTGTCGACGTAGGATCGGCGCATAATATGACCTCTTGAACGACCATGTCCATGTCGCATGCGAACGGCCTGGTGATAGTACTACCAGTTCCATTCTGAGGGTGCACGTAGCCATCACAGAACGCCCGAATTACGACGTTGTTGACCGGACGACATTGACTAGCCTCGAGGTTCGATGGTAAATACCGGGTGAGCCGACTCTGCATTACACGTCTCACACACCCGTCGATTGGCTAGCTCTTGTTGCGGTACATTGCACGACCGGAAGACATACCGAACCCTTGTCCCAGGGCACACGCGGGATAAATGAGGTCAGCCCTGCAGTGCACATATGACCCGAACAGTTCCCTGGCGACGTCGCGCAGCGACCAAGCAGCACAGTTTATGTTCTTAGTTCTATCCAAGCACGAGCTGTTTCTGAATCATGCCACGGCCCTGAGAACCCGATGAATGGTACCGGCAATCTAATTCCGATCCTTGCACGAGTCCGCGGGGACAACGTACACTGGAACCGACAAAAACTGTCTTGACTCTTGGAACCTCGAGGCTACAAACTGTTGATCTCAGCCGAGGTTCGCAGGCTGCTTGCATTGTCCATTGGAAGCGTACGCTGGCACGTTCCCAGTTCGGTACGCCTGTGCACGTTTGATGCGACACCATCGTGTCCCGACTGGCTCTGGAGGTAGCAAGTTGCCAGCACTGGACCGTGCCAAGCCCTAACACCTAGACCAGACTCCAAAGCAAAGTTCCGACTGCGCTGGCGCACGCCAGCCTCGCATCGAGCGTTTCAAGGAATTTTCACCACCCACCTGCGTCCTTCAGGGTGCTTCTGCTGCCACGAACATCGCGCGCCCGACACGAACTTTTATGCACCTTGACACCCTCGGCGCCGCATTCCCCATCTGACACTGCAACTACCACCAATGACACGCCTCGCAAGCCGGGACCATCGTGTCCAGAACCGCCGTTGCGCCCTAGCCCCGCCCGCCGCTGCGCTCGTCGATCTCAACCCTATATGCTGGCCTCGCGCAGGCACGCGTGTTGCGCCCGTTAGAGCCACGCTCTCAATCGGAAGGCCAACCGCCGCATCTCGCTCAATCTCACCTTTTATGATAGCCCATCACGTACCTCGTCGGAGCTTTGAGCATACAAGGGAAGGATAAATACCGAATGTGGGGTCGTCCTCCGAAAAACATCGCAGCAAACGCCGTGGGTACAAGTAGCCGGAGTAGGCACCCACGCTATGTCGTCTAGAAATAGGTGAGGAGCAGTTGACGTGCTTGTTCGGTATGAACGCCGTACGAATCCGCACCCGGACATGCAGCTACGCGACCGCGCGATGCGGCCTGGCGTCATGGAGAAATTCTTTCAATAGCCTTGTGTGAGTAGAACGGCATCGTCCAAGATAGAGCGAATCACACCGTTCCTCTTACTACAGTGAACACGTTGCGACCCTAGTAGTACGTCATCCGGTGTGGCTGGTCACCATTAACAAGTCCAGCTTGGAGGTCGGAGGCGGGGTTCGGAGGTTCGACGAACGTGCGGAGAACGTCCGTTAGCCATAGATGGACCCGGATGCTATCTGGAGAGAAGGCCCGATATGTGGAGTTCAACCCTAGATGTCCAGTATCAATGATGTCGCTGCGCCGGTTTCTCCATTCTGCGTCCTTGATCTCGCTCGGGCCTGGTTGCCGCTGTCTCGCATTACCAGATTGCCTGTCCGGGACATTCTATCGACCGCGTCTTCTCAGCGCGGTGAGAAGAAACGACTCCGCTGGCGGACGTGCCCCGCGCATGAAGAGAGTCCGGTTAGAAGGCAAAGCAAGCTTTTGGAGAGATGAGTCCAAACCGCTTACATGCGCCCGGCCCGCGCTCGAGAGAGGCAGTTGCGCGTTCGTGCGATTGGCTGGGAAAAGGATGCTCGCCTCACAGAGCTCGCGAAATGCCGATGCTAAGGCGGACAAGCCACGCCCTAGTACATACACATACACACGTACGTGCAACGCTAGCGTTGGCAGCTCAGGAAACCACGGCGGTGCCAAGCAATATTGCAGTCTAAGGTGTACTGGCAAGACTGAATCGGCCAGCGTCCGTCAATATTGCACTTCGGTGCTATCGAGCTGTCGGTGGCGTACGTCAATTTCCGGGCTCTGCGGCAACGCCACGTTCGCAGACATCTCAGACCGGACCCCTCGAGTCCTCCGCCCAGACGCGTGGAGCTGCAGCGAAGCACCATTGGCATGCTAAGGGGGGCGGAGAGAGCCCTGGCGCCCTGCAGTCAAAGGCCACGCCCGGAGGTGTCCGCGCGGCCGCAGGCGCAGGAGAGTTCGTACTTCGGAACCATACATACTCTCCGCGACGCGCGCGGAGTCGCGGACACACCCCTCCTACACCACGAGGGAGGGCACCCCGAGAGCCCGAGAGCGCAGTGCGAATCCGACGTCCGACGACGCGTGGGGCTCGCTCGCGCGCCGGGCATCGCCCTATTCTCTCGTTCGCGGTCGGATGGACGGGGCCCAGCAGGCTGGCGGGAGCCTTCCGGGCTGCAGTCGGATCTGCAGCGTTGCAGGGTCGTCCCCGTATTCGTGTTCGGACGCGGTCCAAGACGCAAATGGCAAAGCGCAGATGCGTGTGCGTGAGCTCGCACGCGCACCGAAGTGTGAACTATCTTCGAGCCGTTCTATGGCGACCTGCGCAGAGCACCAGTCATCGATGGAGAGGTTACATAAAGCTGCAGGTCCACTCGGTTTTGGAAAATGCCCGTCTGGGGAAGTAGAAGGAGCACCTACAGCGACTCTGGGCAGGGCGGCGCGGATGCGCAACCGCGTTCGAGCGCATTCATTCGAGGTGCCATCATAGCTCGGGCGACGAAGCCCACTTACGTACAGCATGCGCGGCCGCCGGGCGCGCGCAGCCATAAGAGGGCGAAATTGCCAAGGCTGCCCCTGGAGAAAAGTAGCCTCGCGGAACACTCGCGCGAGCCGGCCTGTGGGCAAGGACCTGCAGAGGCGCGGCACGATGCGCGATTGCACGATGCACGATGCGATACGACGCGCGGGCGTCCGCCCACCAACCAGCCGTTTGCTGGGGATGCCGTACGTACGACCGGGCAGCGTGCCAGAAGCACGAGCAAAAACGCTGATTGGCATGCATGCACGCCACTCAGCCTACGCCCTGGTGCTCACGGCCCTTGGTCATTCGGGCGCGAGCCGCTCGGAACACATACAAGCGTACCGTCACATGTCCGCGAGCGCACCCGTCATGGGGCGCATAGGAGAGCTCTCGAGCGAGGTGCGCGGGTTCGGCAGGGATGGGAGATTGATGTTGTGTTCACTGTTCAGTCCTTACGGCCGCTGGACGTCGAGGGAGCGATGAGAAGTGCGCGATGGAGGTTATGAGTGTAGAGAGGCTGGCGATGAGCGAGCTGGAGGAGCACCTTGGGCATGTCCCCGCGGCTAAGTATGTATATCTTGGGGAGTGCGCGAAGCTAGGCGCGCTGGAAGACAGGGAGGGCTCATCTCGTCCATCAGACCTCATCAGTCGTCTCTCAAAGCATCCAGCATCGAGAAGATTAGTCTCGTTCCCATCCGTTCTAGCGCTTACAGACAGTAC